ACAAAGCTTATGTGCGTTAAAACAACATCGAAGACGCAAAAAAAATCACGAAGGATCTTGAAAAGCGATCTACGTGCTCTCGGGAAGCCATGATGATATTTCGAAAACACTCACCGTAAACTAAAATAATATGGGCACCGATAATACCGAACTCCGACAACACCGAACTCCAAAATTACAGTAAGAGTGTGCCATTTTTCTTAGATTCGATGTGTAAAAGATTGGGTTCTGATCCGCATCGCACTTGTTTACGTTTGATATGATCGAGGTACAGAACCGGATTAGGTTTGATTGTCTGATCATACGCATACTTCATATATCTGTAGTATCCTACAACCTACAAACCACATTATCGAAGTGTAGACTGCGGCACTAAAGGCAGATATTGACAGTCCTTAAAATGTGGCACTCACAGCGAGTAACTTGTCCGAGTAGGTTAGTGGCATATTTCGATTCATTACGTAGCTATAATCAGCATGTCGGTCCTAAAAATGCCACTCAGTTTCTGTTAGATGCTACTTTAGATCCAGTCCTGTGATCCAGTAGCTGTTTGACATCCAATCTGGCTTCAAGTTCGTCGGAGCGAAGATTACAGTTCGATATTACTCCGGAACTTGAGGATAATTGGATAATCCAGCTAATTAAATACCGTGTAAATTTTTTCGCCTTGTTGAGCTTTTATAAAGAAGATGAGCGAGGCAGTCCGGCTGTTAAGGTGTTTTTGTGTAGATGTTTCAGGACGGAATTAGCAGCTGAATGGAAAAATCTGGTCGAACATCCGAATTAACAGTGAAGGCTCAGCTCGGTTGTAAGGAAAAAAATTGCGTCAAGTACGTTCACTCTGCAGTTCCTACGCAACACTGTTATCAGCTCATAAAGAGCAGCTCCTGTGGGAAGAAAGTTAGTAACCAGTATGTATAACATAAGTATTAAATAGGTCAGGCCTGAACCACCAGGGCATCCTAAGCACCCATTCGACAGGTTGCGATCTCGAAATTTCTCCCCTATCCTTTCCATAGTACGGACCATCTAGTAACGTTGCTACGACTGCCCTTGCCATTCGCCACTCCACAGCATGCTTAGACCAAACCTCGAAGCAGGTGTATCAACGTTAGATGTGTTGCGTGGGACACGTGTACAGAAAATATTTCTCTATTATCCCAAGTTTAAAAGGCAAATGTACGGGGAAGTCTATGCTATGTACCGTCAAAATTTCCTTAGGTAATAGACTGCCGTTCGTAAGCTATTCAAGTGAAAATATTTCTATCAGTATGTTCATGGGGCCTGTACTCGTATATCCAGACGGGAGCCCCGGACACAATTTATATAGAAACTTACTTTTTTCTGCTCCATTGTATTTAAGGTATTGCCACGCTGGTACACTTTGTGTAAAACCTCTCTTCGCCTGCCTCTGGGCTCATTACTTTCCATTTTCATACCTTTGTATAATTTGATCCCTAAAAAATGTGTCCCAAACCATGTCATTATTAATTAGGTTTCGGAGGACCTGCCAAATACAGGCCGAGATGATTTAATAATAATAATATGCAATGCAAAACAGCTTTTCAATATAGGACCGGAACTTTGTCGTCGACTTTGTTATTCTTGCCGTCATTTCTCTCAAGCAATTTGCTTTGCAAATCGATGCTTTAAAATTCAAATTTCCACTAAGATAACGACAACATGAGCGGCAGCTGCCGCCACGTTGATTATTGTTGGAAATTATCTTGGACGTATCTGCCCTTTGTTACTTTCTTAGTGGAATTGCAATATGGTCGCCTTGACCTTAGAGCCATAAAGGCTATACGAATCTGTGTACGTGCTCGAAGGTGCAATAAAATTCGTAAATCATTATGGAGATTGCCGGAGCTCTCGCTTTTGAAAGCACAGCGGATGACTTTTGCCCTTTATTACTTTGTTACTGAGGTTACAATGTGGTAGCCTTGCCCTAAGTGTCATTAAAACTAGGAGACATTCAGACAGAAATATTTGTAGATTGCGCAAATAGACGAAGAACTTAGTGTAACTTTAGGCCAATATTAATAAATAAACAAATATACGCAAATTGTCCGTTCAACTGACAAGTTGAGTTCAGATGATGTAACCTTACTTAAAAAGTTCAACTGTGCAAATGGGACTTTCTAAGTATGTAACTTCGGTCTACTAGAAGGATGGAATCTAAAGGATATGGCGGCTTAGTCGCGTCCTGATTAGTGAATGTGTCTTTATTATCGGATCATTCTCTATTTTTTTAATATCTTTAAACATTCATTGTGACTATTCAAAGCACTTACGTCCTCACCCCGTGAATATTTAATTCAAGTTTTGTGTCCGCCATTTTGTGTGTAAGATTTGACATCTAATTTTTTTCGCCAAAGATACATATGTCAAGTTATAAATAAACGTAAAAACTTATGCACAATTTACATTGAGAACAACAAATAGATAGTATGATGGACATATGGATAAAAGATAAAAATATAATCGACCACATTGAATATCGAACATACATTCACACATGAAATAGATAGGATTAGCTACTCCAACAACTCACTCATAAATACCACGAAATATAACCCACCAATTTGTTTAGGCCATTTTGATTTTAGACATTGTGACAACAGATTCCTAATTGGATACCGTTTAGTGCCAAAATCTGTTCACATCAAACAGTGGCTTGTATTTTGGCCACGTTTTCCGACTACTTTCACCACTGTTACCATTGCTATTAATCAATTAAACTTCCACTGCTCTCGCACCTAGAACGCCTTCTTAGAGGAAGTGGATCAGCAATTCGTGGAACATGCGTAAACTAGTGCTTCCCTTCATTGTCGTAAATCAGATAATTTCGCAGTATTAGCCAATTTTCCACCATCGAGAGCTTTCCTTTCCCTTCCATGTCTCTCTTTCGCTCTACCGTCCCCTCGTCCGATTCGAGTGTAGGCAACCGCGATCCAAGTGCTAATTAAAATTCAGTACTTTCCCGTTCTACCAACACCCACCGTCACGTGGAATTCTTCATTAATTTTTCTGGAAATGGCAGCCCTTCATGGTGTACGTTTTCCACTTGCGTGTTAACTCTTTCGCCATTTGCGCACTTCTTCCTGAAGTGTTCTGCTACCTTAATGCTTTTCCCTGGGGAATCTTGTATCCCATTAGTGAAATAATTAGATGATGTTTCGCAATAGGTGCAATACTTGTACACAAAGAAATCCGAGGTATTTAAATCAACTTCTTATGGATAACATAACGAATTTCTGTTACAGCTGGGAAAAGCGATGTTTATGATGCATCTAGAGAAGACATACTTTTCGCCATTCATCTTCTTCACTATGTAAAGGCTCAGACTGAGATAGGGCTTGTTTTTCTCTGGTTTGAAGAACTATTGCCCCAGAAAACTGGAAATTTACTCATGTCCAGCCCGTCCCAAAGAAAGATTTATACCGACCCTTGCAACTAAAGACCTATTTATGGCTCTATAAGTAATGGGGAGATGCATAAATCGGGAAGTTCTAGAGTACCTCAAGCGTCAAGGTTTGGTCATCTATGATCTACAGGGCAACTGCTTATGTCACACTACTATGGAGTAAGCTTATCCAGTCATATGTCATATCATTTGAACCTGGGCTTCTACCTGCGCGGCTGCTTCCGTTAAAAAAAAATGGCTATTACTTCATCACGACGATGCTTCTACATCTTTCTCAAAATTAGTGGAATGACATGGAAGTTGTAACTGGAAAATTATGGACAGCTTATCACTCAAACAAGGTGTCAGAAAGTTGAGAAACCATCATTCTGCACTAGTTTTTTTGAATATTATAAAAATCACTAGAGTACTGAAATGTTTCAGTGTGTGCCTCCATAAAACGTTAAGTAAACCTAAGTATCAGAAGTGGTACCAAAAACGGTAAATACGTCAAGACATAATAATATCACCATATCATAGTATTCGAACACTACGTTTATGACATTTCTAATACCTATAGTGTACTTATGTACCATGATAATCATAATCATAATTATGCTGTTGACACACCAAGGCATTTCGAAAACGGTGGTAAAATGAGTCAACAAAATAATGGAGAATGTGCATTATGCAAGTATTAGGTAATGATGATTGTATAATAGCACATATACTGGACAGATACTTGCGTTACATACCTACGAGATTTCACGTGAAAAAGCTTAGTTATATATTCAGATACTGACTCATTATTGCATATTGCAATTTTATTACTATAATATTCAAATATTTCCATATTAACCAACTTATTCATGAAATCGATATAAACATAACATCTTTCGCGCTACTGTGCTATTATAGAACCAGAGTCCTTGAGTAAGCATTTTGTTTGATAATATATTGCACCTCTTTCAGAAGATTTTTTGAATGAATCAGCAGATAACTGGCTAAATGTATAGATATCTAAATATCTATAATTTAGTGACCTGGAAAATGACCCATCTCACGAGATTCGAACATTTGAGTATGTCATGTAATAAATAAGTATCTCTAACAAAATGTGGTGCACATAAGACACATTATCTATGTTTGTTTGTCTGACTACATGTCTAAGTACTTCTCAGTTAAGTTAAACAGGTTATGATATATGAGATCTTAAACTCTTGCTGCATTTTGATATACAATCGATTAAAGCTGGTATCTTTGTTGAAATTTGGGAAATAGCAACTAATTCTAATTTTTGTGGACATTTTCAGTTCATCAATAGCTATTTATGAGACTGTAGACCTATAAAACTGGAATCTTTATTGATGCAATCCCTGTAACCAATCTTGGCAATAGCAGCAAGAAATGCCAATTTTTCTACATTCTGTGAATATTAACAGCTTATGATATATTTGGCTTTGGAGTTTTGCCTGTACACCTAGAATCTTGATTGATTAACAGTCATTTTTATTGCACTCATTTTTTGATCTCTTTATTACATAAAGCCTATTTTCATACAACTGGTAATCAGTACCTGACTTCAGCAGACACATCAACAAATCGTCGCTCCGTTGATCAAGTGCGATGATTCGAGCAGATGGGACTGAAGTGCGAACGTTGGCGAGCGAGCTTGCCCGAAAAAGGCGCACACTGTCTTAACCGCGTGGAAGGCGCACAGCCGGTAGACTAGCAACAGGCTGGCGGCACCAAGCAGGCCGGCCGTCAGCCAATAGGGGGCGGAGCCCAACCGCCGTGACGTCATCGTCTGCAGGCGGACCACGCATGCGCCAGCGGCAAGCTTCGCCGGTTGCCAGGGCAACGGGGATGCGTCGTCCGTGGTAACCTCCAAAACGGTGGGACATGGCCTTGGCCGGTGAAAGGCAGGTGAGAGGCGACGCACACTGTTGCTCTCGCTTCCTTGCATTTGCTATATCAAAATAAAACAGCCCGAGGGTCTCCAAAAAGAACAATTCATTTTCAGGGGCAACTGTGATTAACAGTCTGCTTAAAATCTGTTTTAGTTGCAAGAGTTTCTAATCATTGCAACCATACTTGCTTATAGCCCATTAATACTGGCATCAAACAAAGCCTTATTTTACTATTTCTAAGCTCCAACCAAATTTCAAAATCCGTCTGCTGTATCTTCCGGCATTTCCTCTTTATTTACAAACTAGGTGCTTTGAAGTGATTTTTCATTTTTCCACATGTCCGTTCATAAGTGTTGGATACATTCATCCTCATCTTCAGCAGATGGGTCGTCAATAGCCATCATCTATTAGGAAACAAATTGCGTGCAAGGTTATATGACGTTTTCGAGATGGTCTGTACACCTTGGGTTAGTGCCATTTTCCTAGATACAAAGTAAACAGTAACGGAGAGAGAAAGAATTAATGCTTGGGTCGTGTGTTGAGAGATGAACGGTACAAGGTATTTTCGTCTAATAATCGAGGAAAAGGAGGACGCAAGTACCCGCGGCTAAGGGTCTCAAGGCGATGGTTTGATCGCAAGTCTCATTGAAAAAAGTTACCAAAGGCAATTTAGGTTCATCTCATAAACCGTTCTCTATGATTTAGAAAACCGCTCAAGAGTGTGCTTTGAATTAGAAAATATGTTAGGAAATTGAGCTCTTTTCAATACCTACTGGAGAAATCCCTCCTCGTTGAAAGACCTCGCTGCTTATGGAAAAATATCTTCACTCTCTTGTTTCACAACACTGTTATTAATTGATCAAACCAGCGCGTTTGGAACATATAATCCCTCTTTAATGAGTTTAGTTACTTACCTTCAGTCCTACGCACCGACGCGCCAGCTACCAATCTACTGGGTAAAGGAGACACGCACACAAAGATTTGTTTTGTTTATACCCCAAGTATATTGGTTGTAGGTTAAGACTTTGCCTGAAAATATGTTTAATTACCAATAAAAAAAAATTGATGAAAATATACCGTGATTTGAAAATTCGAAATATGTATAATCATAAAATATAGCATATTTACCTTTAAAAAAATTGAATTGAAAAATTATGGTCAATTCACTGACTTTTTGGGATAGGTAAGTCGAATAACCGTTATACACCTTCGCGGCCTCCATTAAACATGGTCACCAAACCATCTCGTTTTGGATTGCGAGGCTCGACTGTTCATATACTCCTATAGGCGCCTAATGATGCCCCTCATTCAAACTGAGGACACATATACCTACACACGTGAGCTTCGTGACTGCTCCTGAACTGGCAGCAATGGCATAGCATTGGCCTCCATTTAAACATCTATCAATATGACTCACATGTGCATTAAGAGTGATAAGCCATCATTCTGTCCAAACGCATACCAGCATATTCATCAAACGTTGACATCCCGTTTTCATCACCCAGGCAACGATCCGAATATCCGGTGTTCACCGAATGAAGCTCACTCTAGATTGCGACCATGCGGAAAACTTCTGTTGTCGATGTCATGACGACCGCTCATAACGGATCTCCAATTATACGACGTTGAGGAAGTTTAATTTTCACGAAACTAAGTCTATTCTCTACACCTCAACGTACCAGTGACGTAACCAATAAGGTGCGTCTCAGGATACGCAACAAGGATCAGGTAGATGATAGTAATAATAATAATAATAATAGCATAATAATAATGATAATAATGATGATAATAATAATAATAATAATATTAATAATAATAATTATAATAATAATAATAATAATAATAATAATAATAATAAGAATAATAAATGGCCTTTATTCGTCACATAATTACAAAATAATTGGCTTAATAGGAATAGTGACGGGAAGGTGGAGTGTCAGCTTACGCTAATTTTCAACCCGACCTAAAAAACATTGACACAAACTATAAAGAAAAAAATTTAACATTTGAATCTTCACAACATTGACCACCAAAAAGAGAAATCTTAAAGTATTACACTTATCAGGAAAAGGAAGCAATCAATTACCTGTGGATATGCGTAAAGTTAAATTCTAGTCATCCGATTGCTTTATGCTTTAAAATTGCTTAGGCTATATTTTTTATACCCACTTGTCAAGCAGTTATAAGCGGCCCATACACGGACGGATTATCCGTATAATTCAGATACGTACAGATTTGGTTCGACAGATCCGGATCGGACGGACTAAATCTTTCCTTGTCCACTAATTAACATACCATGCATGCGTTCCGGATCTTCGAGCGTGATTTGAGGTATCAAATTCGTCAGTTAGTGGAGTAAAATCACACATTTCAGACAGATTCGATCTGGTGCGTGGTATTTTAGGTGAGGTAAGAGATCTGGTCGTGGCAGTGGCAGAGAAGTTTAAAATGTTTTTGCAAAGCAAGAAACGAAGGGCTATAGCTTGTGCTGGCATCATAGTGGTTTCAGAATATCTACGCAAAAAGAGAGTGAGAAGAAAGTGGACCAAGAATTGGTCATTGCGACGAAACGATTTTAGTCATATGTCACTTTTGAGAGAGCTGCGAGCTGCTGATCCAAATCATTTTCGCAATTATTTACGAATGGACGAAAATACGTTTAACCTTTTATTAAACCTTGTTGGATATCATTTACAGAAACAGAATACAGTAATGCGACAAGCAATTTCTGCCGAAGAACGGCTAATTGCCACTCTTCGATTTCTGGCCACTGGAAGATCGTACGAAGACTTGAAATATTTTACATGCATTGCAGCTCAAACTTTAGGGCAGCTCATACCAGAGACCTGTCAGGTTATATATAATGTATTGAAAGAAAAATATATGAAGGTAAGAAAGAAACTCTAATTTAGAAATATTGCGAAAAGAATACTACATTTTTTAAAGTAAATCAAAAAGGTACATTTTTGCCAACAATAAAACTGTTATTCAAAGATTATACAATCTTGTCGCATTGACATAAAAGTCACTTAAATCTGTAGAATTGCTTCCAGCAGAAGATGTAGATCTTGAGTGATCAGGAAGAATGGCAGCAGACGTCTCCGTGACAACTGTTGTTCTTGTTAACTCATTGAACAAGCCTTTTGTAATTATTTGACTAATTAATGACTCCGATAAATATGTTTGTTCTTATGACATCTTCTTCAGTTTCGCTGCGATATTTATAGCAATCGCCATAAATTCATCAACCTCCACTTTTCGCATTAAAGTGGTGGAACAGACATTCATGATTTTCTTTAATTCTGTTGCATTGTCGTTGGCCTTTCTTTTTTGCCATGAACGTCTACTAGAACATGTAGTTGGTGTCTTAAAAACCTACAAATGTATTCTTGTTAGTGCATTTCATACAAATCTGTTGGAACATTATGGTAAACATTTTTAAAATTAGAGATACTCAAGATAATTGACTGATGCGAATGTTAATTTTTGCATTCTTCCGTTTTTTAGTTTCCGACTACAAAACAAGAATGGATAGAAACTGCGCAAGGTTTCAAATATCGTTGTCAGATGATAAATTGTGGTGGAGCACTCGATGGAAAACATATTCGGACTGAACGTCCAGCTTTATCAGGGGCTCAATATTATAATTACAAAAATTTTTATAGTATTGTGCTGATGGCATTAGTTAATTCCAACTACGAATTCGTATACGTTGATGTAGGAAAGTAAGGAAGATTATCTGATGGTGGAGTTATATCGTCAACAAAGTTTTACATGTTAGTGAAGGACGAACTACAATTCCCAAACAACGATGAAAACGACGAGAAATTAAATTTTGTCATAGTTGGAGATGAAGCTTTTGCTCGACATGAACACATTTTAAAGCCATTTTCTCAGAGAAATTTGACGAATGAAAGACGTATTTATAATTGCCGTATTTCCAGATGTCGACAACGCTTTCGGTTTGATGGCATCTCGATTTAGAGTTCTACACACAAAAATATGTATTGATCCCCAAAAAGCAATATTTGTTACTTTAGCAATCTGTATGCTACATAATATTTTAAGAAAAACCAGTCATTCTTACATAACTCCATCATCAGTGGATGGTGAAGATCTCAATAATCACAAAATTATTTATCCAACTGTATGTCTTCTTTTTTTAAACAAATTTTAATTTCGTTCGTAGAAAATATTTATTTCTTTTGTTTTTGCCTAAATGTTAGCTATATTGCAATAGAAATATCTATTTATCTAATATTTACCAATTATTATATTATTTTTTTCGTTGCCATGGCTAATTATTCAACAATTCATTTAAATTCGCAGTAGATTTCCTATCATGTGACAAAAAAAGCAATATTTGTTACTTTAGCAATCTGTATGCTACATATTTTTTTAAGAAAAACCAGTCATTCTTACATAACTCCATCATCAGTGGATGCTGAAGATCTCAATAATCACAAAATTATTGAAGGAGACTGGAGAAGAGATACGCATAATAGCCTTGTTCCACTTCAGCCAAATAAAACGAGAAGTGTTTCATTGAAAGCAATGAATAATCGACAAAGTATTTGGAATATTTCAATGGACTCGGAGAAGTGGAGTGGCAGCATGATATGATTCTCCAAGGGAGAGCTTAAATATTTTTTGAGTTATTCACATGACTTATTTAGATTTCATATTTCAGTAATATATTGATTAACTTACTTCTTCTCTCTTGCTTTCTGATTTACCGTTTATATTTTCTCGCACTTGCACTTCTAAAGATTCGTCGACACCAATATTTTCTTCTTCAGTATCATTTGAATTTGTAGTGGGCGATCCAATGTTTGAAATGCTATCTAGTGGAGTGTCTTGGTCTATGGTAAATAAGAGCAAATCGTAGTACCTATAAATAATAAAAAAAACAGATTATTTTGTTTAACACCAGAAGAGACCTAAAATACTTACGAAAGTGTCGGTACGTACAGATCTTCGGAAGAGGTGCCACTTCTTTTAGATTCTTTTACTTTATTTTATTTTTTTGTCACAAAGCCACGATCTACGTGTGGAAAGTAAGCCTGGCAGTGACGTACCAGCTCATCATAAGCACGATATTCAAGATTTTTGTTGGTATATCCTTTTGCTCTTATTTGCCATAAGCAAGTAGGACTTCTGTACATTTCTATAAAGTCCGTTAAAATTTCTCGTGTCCACTCACCCATGATGATAATATTAATAATAAATTAATGTATACTACTATTCGCGCGTACCCACTAACGACGAGATGTAGCTGGCGAGTTAGAACCTGCAGATTTGATGTCTACCAAATTATTATCGCGCCGTATCTGGCTCGTCATTAACCATTAACGCACCGATATCTTTACGAATTTGGCTCGCCACGTATCACATATGACAGATAATCCGTCCGTGTATGGGCTGCTATTTAGTTTGGGTACCCAGTACGAGAACCTAAGTGTGAACAATGCTGTCGAATGCCGCGGGATGAGTAAGATGCGTCTATTCCTAGAGGATCTTTGAACGTACTGACAGAGGAGGGTTAGCTTTGAATAAATATAAAATGTCGCTTTAAGGAGAAGGGTATTATGTACCAAAGATAGGCGATGTGATTTCGACAATTTGTTCTTCTTAAATCATCCCGATTGCCCAACAGCGCCACTAATGTGATCAAATTTACGGATTCAATAAGCTAAATCTGATGCATGAGTTTTGTACCATCTGAATCCGCTCGGCGTCACGTTGTAGGAGAGCAGGTCCATAAACACAGTCACCGTAAGATAATTTTGGCAGGATTAGGAATTCGCAGAGTTTAAGCTTGAGCTGTGTTGACAGGACACTGCAACTCTGGTATAACTGACGAAGGACATTATATGATAACATGTTTAGTGAAGCGTAGCTTGCAGTCAAACCAAATACCAACGTTTTTGCATTCGTTTACAAAGGATATGTCTTAATTATTCACCATAATATTAATGCGATCTGGATTTATTTCACGATTCCCTTTGGGCCCAAATGAAATGCAGCAAGATTTGCCAGCATTCAGGTTTAGATTGTGAGCACCCCATATGTCAAAATAGACTGCAGATACTGATTTATTTGATGATGCAAAAAGAAAAATTCATCGGAACCGAAGCTGTTGTAAAGTTGGGTATCATCGGCGTAATGATGAACTGAGTAGCTGGCGGTTTAATGAAAATCACGTATATAAAGAGCAAATAAAAGGGGACTCAAAAAAGATCTTTGAGGGACACCAACATTTCTGAATAACGAAGTTGATATATAGTTTTCATGTATGACAGACTGTGAGTGATCAGTTAGGTAACTTTTAATCAGCGTGCAAGCCGATTACAGAGAATATTTGGGTCAACCGAATCGAAGGCCTTGCTAAAATCAAGAAGAACTAAGCAAGACCGCTTTACTTGATCAGCCGTGCTATAAATATCATCTGATATAGACAGGAGCGCAGTGGTGATGCTATTTAATGGTCGGAATCCAGATTGAGAGGTGGTCAGTAAATTATTTTCACAAACAAATGTGTGCAGCTTCTCATGTAGAGCCATTTCCAAAAGTTTAGATAGGCTTGGTAAGATCTCTGTATCCAGCAAAATGCGAATTTATTTGAACACTTATTGTAAAACTAGTTTTAAGTATATCCAACTGTATGTCTTCTTTTTTTGAAGAAATTTTAATTTCGTTTGTAGGTAAAATTTATTTCTTTTGTTTTTGACTAATTGCCTCTATGTTGCAATAGAAATATGTATTTATGTAATATTTACCAATTATTAAATTATTTTTTTTCGTTGCCATGGCTAATTATTCAACGATTCATTTAAATTCGCAGTATATTTCCTATCATGTGACAAATTTTTTAGTTTGATTTTATTAAAAAATGGCACAATTTATCGATACTCAATAAGACTACATTTTTTATGTAGAAAACCCTAAATTTTCAAATTCCATAACTGAATTTCAAAAATAGAATCACACAAAAATTTTGGGGCTAAAATAACCTGAGTCCATTCCTGTTACATACGCTTCCAAACAAAACTGTCTAAAATTGTTAATATTTTTAAATCCAGCATAAAAAACTAGGCTAGAATACCAAATTCTATGTCTTTATCTCAACACGTTTCGGAAATATTAAGGAAAAACCATCTTCAGTGGAGCCCCTTTAAAAGACCGTAGCGCCGTTAGGGGACGTTTGTCAACATATGTTTATATATACTTTTCTTCCTACTTTAAGCTCTAGGAACCGCTGGTAGAATATTGCACACTTTTTTCGGGACACCCTGTATATCTATTCAGCTGATATAAATAACATGTCTAAAAGATTGACCTTATTACATCTCATTGCCTTAATATGTTTTATAATTCAGTAAAGATCAAGACACTGCACAAGAACATCTGAAGGATACGCCACTGGCTTTCCGTCAACGTAAGTGGGGATTTCTAGGATTCAGGCATGGTTGTAGACAGGAAGGATAGAGAATGGAGGTCGCATCGCATAAATCTATTCAGGATGCTGAAAGAATCTTTCGTTAACAGAGGATAAGAAGTTTTAGCATGAAATAGTTTGTAGGATAACCTAGATATGAGCCAGTGCGTTATTGTGAGGTAACTGACGTATAGTTTCTGGTTAATAGCGAAGATCATACACTAAATCAAAGCTCTATTTTTACTTAAGGCATTGTCTTAAAATAATAATTAATTGATAAAGGTTTAAACAGGTAAGCTCATTTGTTTCTTAAAAGCCATACTTACTTTTTGAACGGCTAAGTTAGCAAGCTGCGATTTAGGGAGGTCAATTGGCCAATATGGCGGCTGGGTGCCATCTGGAAACATTCTTTTTAAATGAGGATGGGCCATCTAGTTCCTACTTTAAAGCTTCTCTGTAATTTACTAATTTTAAAAATTACGCCCATACGTCGTGTTCATGTTTTCAATGCCTTTTACGCTATATATACTATATTATCGCTGGCATTTGCTTTTAAAAGCGCCTCAAAAATTATTATCTTTAATTTTTTTTAATCACTGGTTTCAGAAGTAGGTACTAAACATTTTACTTATTTCTCTATTTTTTATTCAAGGGTACCGCCTTGTGGACATACATACACATGTGGAATTTCACTACTACATTGCTAGGATATCTAAGAAATTCTCTAATGAATGGGCAACCAGGCGTATAATCAGAGACTTTGTGGACGTGCTTTTAGTACAGTTTTCATAGCTCCGACGGATAAAATGTAGAGAGGCTCAAACCTAAAGCATAAAGCCGTAACCCCTCAACGGTATCTAATTAAATTAGCATCTAGTTATATTAAAACTAGTCAAATGCACCTAACATACGGTGCAGTCCAAAAAACGTACAGCAATAAGTAATGATAGTAATTATTATTAATTAAAGTATCTCACGTTTCATCCACGCTCCCAGAACAAAATGGATTCGTGTTGCGTAAATTTTGTAGCGCTGAACTAAGCAAATTGCTGGACGCTAATTAGCACTCCAACAAACGTAAAATTGCTAATAATTGTATGAATAAATGAGTTTGCAACTGGTCGTTCAATTTTTTTCAGCTCTCTGTCAGCGCCGTGCACAATAGCTGAAACCTGAAGCGCTCACGCATAGCTCAGTAACACTTGGCAATAGTAAACTGTATAAACTGTTGTTCGTGATTCTAACTGCCACATTTAACAAACCCTGATAACAGTTTGTCGATATGACAGTT